TGGGAGAGATCCTGAGGCAGAGGGCGGGGATGCCTCAGCATTAGTGAGTATAGGACAGAAGGTGACCTCACTTAATACTGTCATCAGCCACTCATCATCCATTTACTTTTCGTTGCAGCTCCGGCGGTGCTCAGTCAGAGCTTAGCGACCCAAACAGCCCCTCGTTTGACACGATGTTCCAACCTGCTGAGTCACCAGGCGCAGCTTCCAGCCAGACCAGAGATCAAGGATTCAGCCCTGACTCTCCTGTGCAAATGGGCAGAGCAGATGACTACAGTTCTCCAGGTACACATCAGCAACTGCACTGCTCAGCTTTATTTTATAGCAAAGTTACAGCACGGGCTGGGTGACTTACATAGAGTATAGTAACTCAAAATAAAAGTCAGGTTTTTACACATTTATAATTAGAACCTTTTTTAAATTAATAATATTTTCCTTTAATGCAGTTATTCTAATTTTTTCACAAAGTTGATGTGACAGGGACAGAACAACACATTACATTTGACTTGCAACCGATACCATGTTTACTGGTCATCTAACTAATAGCTAATTAGCAGATCAGTTCCCTTAGACAAAACAAATACAAACAGTAAGATACAAACATAAAGTTTTGTAAACATGGTTATAATATTCAGAAGTTTGAGTAGATTTAAGCCTTCTTTATCTGTTTTATGTCTGTAATGCTGCGTTCACACCGGACGCAGCTGGCGCGACAGAAGCAGCGAGTTTACATGCAAAGTCAATGGTTGACACGCGTCAAGGCGCAGCAAAAGGTCCCGCGGCGCGTTTTGAGCAGCAGGCGCAGCGCGTCTGAGCAGCTGCAGCAGCGCGTCGGGCGCTCGAGATGGAAAAATTTAACTTTTGCTGCTCGAGGCGGTCAACCAATCAGAGAAGCTGATCTGGGAGCTGGTAGGGAGACGGACACATCGCTGATAACACAGAGCGCTATGATCACTCCTCTGAAACAGTTTATTGAGGCATAAATTAACTTAAAATGCTGAAATCTGCCGGCAGAATATGTTCGCTTTTATTATCCTGCTGCCTGCAGTTTGGATTATTTAGATGAAAAACACCTGCCAACCGCCGCGGTGAACCGCTGGGAGGCGACCCGGCCAGAGGCTGCTGATGAAGGGATTCCTACTGTTGGCGCACCGCCGGTATGTGGGAGTCTGAGCGGCTCCGACAGAAAAAATATTGGAAGGCAGGATGATAATCTGGATGAACTGACTGCACTGATTACGTTTTCAGGTGGACTTTCTAACCTAAAAACATATTAAAACTACTTTATTACCACTGCTCACAGCAAATATAGCTGCAAGGCAGAGAAAGGACAGTGAAGCTCCGCCCAACGCACGTCAGACACACTTTTGGACCGCGCAGCGAGAGCGGCAAAGCTGCTTCAGCCGCGCGTCAGAACTAACTGGTACAAGCAGCAAAAATGAAGCAGCAGACGCGATTTTGCTGCGTCCGGTGTGAACGTAGCATAAGGGTTTTTAATTGGGCAGCTATGGTGCTCCATATATGAGGCCGTCTTACTCTGAGCTCTTTCCAATGTGGTTCTAGATTTGGCTGGTTAGCATAGACTACTGGCAGCACCTCTGCTAGCGACACCTCAGGTGCTATGTTTGTATCAGGAGCAAAGTTTTACATACAGTTAGACTGTTTTTAAGAAAAAATATTTTATAAAATTATCCAAACTAATTAAATTATGCTTTTCTTGAAATATGCAGGAGAATGATCGTATGTGCTTTTGCTCCAACACTATTAAAGCTTGTTTATTGGGATAAACTACACTATTCATTGCTGAAAATATAGTTTAGCAGTAATTATTGATGGACAGAATCTTATCAGGTGGATATGATTTCACATAGTCCCGGTAGCTTTTATTTTCTAATGTGCATCAGATCTTTGGTTTAATCCAAAACTACTCCTAAATATCTGTAATTTTTTACTATGAATTGCTTCATGATTAATTTGACCGTCGAAGTTTTCTGAAGATTTTATGGGAGTTAAAAAAGTACTTTTAAACATTTTGGAGAAATTTAAAGACAGATGATCATCTTGGAGCCACTGAGAAACGCCAATCATTTGTCTGTTCAGCAGCTCTGCTCATTTAGTTTAAATGTCTGTTCAAACTTTTACGCTTATTCCTTATTTTGATATACAGTCTTGTTTAAAAATTGGATACCAACTATATTCTGTTGTATTTTTTAGGTAAACATGCTAGTTGCAAAGAACATTTTCCCTTTCTCCACTTCTGGTAATTTTGGAGTCTAACCGCCTCCAGTAGAACTGGGAGGTTGCTGCTCATCACATGTGCTGCTCATAACTGCAGCTTAAAACTTTATTTCCTGAAAGAATAACAAGCAGCACTAGGAATAGGCATATGATACTAGAACATTAAAAATAAATATGGTAGTGATCTGCCACTGCACAGAAACCACAGTTTGGTTTGGAGGCCATCTAAGCTATTGATCAACTGCATTCATTCTTTTTTCTTAAACCACTTTTTCTGTGGCAAATATGAAGTTTATACTTTAAATGGCATAAAACACATTAATGAACATGGTGCAGAGGGTGGGATTTAGGCTGTGATGGCTTCCTGACTAGTTTTATGTTACACTGAGTAAAGCAAAAAAAGTGTTTTGGTGGGAAGATTATATCTATATATTTGTAATATGTATAAATCTATGATATTTATTACCGATACCAACAATTATATTTACATTTAAGCTGATATTTAACTAATGTCTCGTTTCAGTTGGAGATGGGACTCGAATTAAAATTGATATTTAAACTTTTAAACGATAATTTTTTTAAACTGAGTTAATTACATGCCATGTAATTATTTAATCGGAATTAATCACATTTTAATCCAAATCCAAAATAAGCAACCTTTTCAATTAAAAGGCACTCTTTGCTCCTTAATTACTGAATGAAGTGCCCAGCAACAGGTGGAACAAAGCAAGCGTTGAAACTCCTGACAATCTAGCCCTTTCTCTAGCATCTCATCAAACAGAACCTTAGACTTTTTTTTTTTTTTTGGGAACCATAACTTTCAAAAACTGATGCCAGCCAACACTTACCACAAACCACAGCCATTACACACTTCGTACTAAAATAGAATCCCTTCAGGTTAATTATATAGAACTAAATTATAATGATACCTACTTAAGAGCATTGTTTCAGTTCATTTCTAAGCGCGTGGATTAAATCCAGCTTCATCTGGTTTAATGCAAATTATACAGCAATGCATTCAAATTAAATTCACCATTACAGGAGCCTAACCCAGATATTATCTTTGTTTGATAATGCTTTAAATGTTGATCTCATTATTAATAATAATCAATTTATAACATATTAAATGCTGTGTTTCAGTTTTATTCTTTTATGCATAGTTATGGTTTAAGTCTTTTGTCTCCGTCCCCCTCAGCAAAGTCGTATTTGGAGGAAGACGATGAGCCTCGGAAGAAACCCATCCTCTATGAGGACCTGAGACTCAAAAACAGGGAGAACTATGAGGTGACAATGATTCAGAAGGCTGACACCATGCTCAAAGCGCCGGCAGAGAGGGACCCAGAGAGAGGCAAGAAACAGGGTGAGCGGCCATTGGTGAAAAGTTGAAAAAGTAAAAAGCTAAATGTTTGTTTAATTAACAATCGAACCTGATCATCTCCAATGTCACTTACATTTCAGTGAAGAAGAACATCTATGGAGACACCTGGGAGGAATGAGTCTCCATCGGATGGATCTTCTGCTCGTGCTCCAACATCCCTGATGACCATGAGGCGTTGGGCGCTCAGTCCTTTCTGCTTTTCTGACTGAGATTGTGATACATGTGACGTTGCAAGTGTGAATAAAAAAAACAAAGTGATGATTGAAAATTCTGATGCGTTTTGGCTGTTTTTGTTTAATTTATGAAACGTGTGTCAGGTTATGTAGAATAAATGAATAGAAAATAATCAGTTTGACTCAAATGCGGACCAGTGATTCCGCTTTATTTCAACGTCCATCCATATGAAAAAAAAATCTTCCTTTTGACACCATTTAAACTTTAATTACTTGAGCAGAGGAAATACAACTGCATTGAAAATTCTGAGTTTTCTTTTTACAAGCATCCATTCTTTTCTGACTTGAAATATCTGTTAAGTTTACAAAGCAGCTTTATCCCCAATCTGAAATATAAATCCAGCTGATCTAAGGTTTGTTAAAGAACTTTACAGTTTTAGGGCTATGGACTTATTGCAAGGCACATTAAAAGGTTCAAATTGCTCCCAGAATAAATTAAAATGCAGATGGTTCAACTATTTTACTTTTTGGGAATTTTTTTGTCAAATAATTAAGTTGTAGAACAGGAGAACTGACTTTAATGATCTCCTTAATTCAAACCGTATTTCACTAAACTATAGAAAAGGGAGCATCATGTACTAGAGGTACATTTAAACAGATATAAAAAAAAATCAAATATAGTACTGTAGAAAAGTCCTGAAATTATCTAAAAACCTTTTTCCCATTGAAATGTTAAACATCAAATCTGTAATACAAATAACATGAGATAGCAAAAATGCATTCGGATGACGTAAAAATTATTCAGTTGGACTAACCACACTACATTTAGCTAGAACATCTAAGCCACTGCATTTGCTTCAGGGCTCCTGATCGATCAATGAGGAATAAATTGGGAGTAAAAAATAAGTCCTGGGGCCAAAAGCAACACTGATTAAAAAAAATAAAAAAAGATGTGTGTGTATATATATATATATATATATATATATATATATATATATATATATATATATATATATATAATACATTAACTGATTACTAAATTTGTAAATTAATTAATATATAATCAATTAATGATTGTTTCAGTCATACTGGATGTAAACACAGTATAGTCTGAGACGTGAATCATCTACTTGATCATAGTTGGAAGCCTTTAAAAAAAAGATTTATTACAACCAGTAAACAAAAAAAAAAAAAAATAATTAAAACGTAAATGCAACATTTATAAATGCTTATTTATTTAAAACAATGTTGTTTTTTGACAGTCCTTCCCTTTCAACACTACAGGTTAGAGCATTGATTTCCAAAGTTTGTGCTGTGGCCCCCAAATCCAGTACAGAAATGAAACTAAATGATAGACACCAATGTTTATGAGCCCAAAATTATAAAAACTACTTTTGCTGTTGATGCTCTTTGTAATGTTATTCCACCAGTTGATGCGGTCCCCTTCTGTGGGCCAGAAGCTAAAAAGTTTGGGAACCTCTGGGTCTGAGGTCTCATTAAGTGGTCAAATGCACAAAACAAAAACAACTACTGCTCAGGCCCATGACTATGACCGTGGTTATGGTTGCAACTGTGTCCCATACTTTGGTCTAAGAAATGTCCATGACTGTGTCCAACGTTCTGAGCTGAGAAATGTCCATGATTGTGTCCAATATTCTGAGCTGAGAAATGTCCATGACTGTGTCCAACGTTCTGAGCTGAGAAATGTCCATGATTGTGTCCAATATTCTGAGCTGAGAAATGTCCATGATTGTGTCCAACGTTCTGAGCTGAAACTTGTCCATGAAGACTATGAGGTGGCTTGAAGCCGACAGAGTTTGGCCAGCCTTCAAACATTGTATCTGGAGTTGCCGTGGTGGAAATGCTGGGCAGCGGTGCATAGGCTTGAACTGGGTATGATCCTGGAGTGGGATTTATTCGTGGAAGCAAAGTCTTCCTCTTCTGTGAGGATGCAGGGACAAACATGGCACCGCTGATCCTCCTTAGTATTTTAAACGGCAAGATCTTCTCCAGAACGGCAGCCCTGGATTCGGATAGGTCCAGATAAGACAGCCAGCCTTTCCCGTACACCCAGCCGATTAGTATGGCGATAACATTGCAGAGCAGCACACTGTGAGGGATCAGGGCGGTGCAGATGATCAGGAGGACCCATGGGATGGCCACTGCAGGAAAACTGATCCCACAGAGGAAAGCCTTGCTCATCTTTGTGTGCAGAGTGGTCAGGGCCACACAGGCCAGGATCACTGGCAGCAGACCCTCGGTGTGCACACTGGCATCCTGCAGAAGGTCTAAGAAACTATAAAACACACCAGTGAATGAGGCAAGCAGGAAGACAAGGAACAGGAAGCGGACCGTGCCAAAGCCCTTCTCAACACCGGCACAGAGAAACAGCAGAGCAGTGGAGCTCAGGAGGAGCTGAGGGAGGCTTCGGTTCTGGAAGGGATACAGAAAGAGGCGGTGGATGTGGCCCCTTTGGAAAACTGAGGCTCCGATGCTGAGGCTGTCCTGAGGGAGGCTGAGGGAAGTTTGGATGCCAAACCAAACACAGGAGCAAAGGACCACTACCAGAGTTCCACTAGAAACAGGGGGGACGAAATCCTTCAGCACACCGAAGATTTCATTAAAGTTGTTAGTTTGCATTTTTGGGGAAAAAATAGAAACAAGGAACCCGGAAGTATTGCAGAGTTTTACGATAGCAGTAGTTATCTACCTTCACACTTCCGGAACAAGAAGTAAACTTTCTCACAGTCGAAGCATCTCTTAGTGGCAAAGAGATAATATTCCGTCAGCATTAAATATCTGTTTGCAAAATAAATAAATAAGCAAGCAAAACCCACAACCCGGACACGGCAAGCGTGGAGAAACCAGGAGGTTTCCTTAGCAACTTTCACAATAAAATCTCGCGATAACATGCGAGATTTAACATCGCATATTTGCGATAAAAACAGAAGAAAAAAAGTTTGTCTATTAAGGGTCAGAAAGGAGCTCTAAATTAGCCCCCCAAAAAAGGGAGCTCTAAATTAGTTTCTATATTCTAATATGATATATGAATATTAACCTATGATGTCTGGCTCTATTTACTTTTACATAATTAAATATGTAAACACTCATAGGGCTTGGTCGTCGTGACGTCACCACTTTGCGTGGTCGCCATGTTGACGGCGCACTTTACGGCTTCCTTAGATTATTGCCTGTGACTAACGCGTACTGTTCTCCCTCTCAGCTGTGCTTTATTTCGTTTAATTTCACCGTAACTTGATTTCAACCATGGTAAACCGTTGCAGTATTGTGGGCTGTAACAGCGCATCACATGATCGCCGAGGGAAAAACCTACAAAATGGGATAACTTTCCACGCTTTCCTGCCTGGAGGCGCAAACACGGAGACCAAGTTTCACAGATAACAAAGAGTCGTCGGCTAGCTTGGATCGCGGCTGTAAGACGACAGAAAAGAACTTTCCACAGTATCCCGATGTCAATGCGAGTGTGTTCCCTGCATTTTCATTCTGGTAAGTTAAAGATGCACGGTTTTATTTTATAGCCTACAGTATTTCCTTCCTTCATCCGTGGCACCACATACATGCATGAACGCGCGCCCAGAGACTGTTGATATAGCATTTTCATCCTCGTTGGTTGATATAGCATTTGATATAGCATTTCATCCTCGTTGGTTGATATAGCATTTGATATAGCATTTCATCCTCGTTGGTTGATGTAGCATTTGATATAGCATTTTATCCTCTTTGGTAGAACACACTGCCAGTTCCTACAAGGACAGGGACATCCCTCTCCATGTTCAAAAAAAACCCTGAGGTTGACAGCTGTCATAGCACCACTTACAAATTTTGCTGATCCTAGCGCTTACCAGCCGTCTTGTAATGTAATGTAATCATATAATACAATATAATAATGTGTATATTGAGGATCATTGATAACATTATGGTTCTATTTGTTTTCAACACTGCTGCTGTGGATAATAATTTTAAATTGTGTCACCAGGAAAACCAGCAAATGAAATGTACACCTCGCATCCGGATTGGGCACCATCACTACACTTGGGCCACACTGAGATAAAGGCCACACAGACTGCACGCTATGAGAGACAGGAAAAGAGAAAACGGCAAAGGACTGACAGTACACCTGCGATGGATGAGACAGCTATTGATGACCTTGTTCCACCCGGTAAGCCTTACAGAGCCAGCAGATTCAACACCGTATGTTGCTTCTGTGGCTTTTTCAGCTGCATGATGCACATTTAGCTAAAAGATGTCCTTATTTTATCCATAGTGGAGACACCAGCACCAGCTGAGGATGGAGCTGAGCAGACACTGCTGACAGAATGTGACTTCTGTCAGCGCCGGCGTGCTGAAATCAACCGGCTGCTGGAGGAGAACAAGACCCTGAAACGTGAGCTTGGCCAGAGAAAAATGGATGAAGATTTCCTGAAGGAAGACACCGTCAAAGTGAAATACTACACTGGACTTCCACACCTTAAAGTCAACCACTTTATTCTGGTGTTTATGAATTACTGTATTAAAGAAAAGATTGATGCTCAATATGGAATTGACAATTTCTTTGTATCAACAATACACTCTAAGCAAACATTTAACAAGTGGGTTGTTTTTTAGCCATAGGTGTGTTTTGCATCCATACCCAAAAGCAAGAGGTCTCAAACGATCAGATCCTTTTCAATGTTTATTTGCAAGTAGTGAAACTTGAGAACACAGTGTAGCGCAGAACAGTGCAGTTTGAATGCTTGTAGGTAAATGGTTACAAATAAAAAATGGACGCAATGAAAATGCAGTGCAATTACTTACAATAACATAGTATGTATTTATACAAAATGTTCAATCCTATTAAGTCGGTCTTAATGAAACATCAATGGAGAAATGGAAAGTGGAGATATTGCAAATTATTATTATACAAATTGTAGTTATAGTAAACATTAACAGTTAAACACTGTTAGTGCAAATTCTTATATAAGTATTTATAATAATATGCATTACTTAAATTGTATAAATAAAGGCTGCGATGCAATATGTCATGATATACAAAAATATATTCTATAATTGTATAATAATATAACAACGTGCAATAATATGCAAATATAACAATACAATGTAATAATAAAAAATACTATGCTTTTTATAAAAAATTTCTATGATGACCCATGGCTTCAGGGGAGTCTCATTAATGCGCTGAGAGTGCAAGACCTGAGGAGAAAAAAAATAGACATAAATTATGCAGGTAAGGACACCATTATATTTCATTCTATGCAGGAAAGCAAACGTTAACCTCAACCCCTCATGCATGTGTATACATATCATATAAATCACAGTTATACAACAGTAAAGTATAACAACCACGCTGTTATATTGTTATATCACTTAAAAGAAAAAGAAATGAAATGAGCACAGGACATTTAAACCTGCATAATGCCTATGACTGAATGATTTAAGCTCAAAGTTACCCGTTACAGTGTTTTATGAGGTCAGATTTAATAACCCGCAGTCAATACTGCACTCATTTTTCTAAATAGTTCACTTTGAAAGACTCTGATTCAAACTAGGAGTTAACTTTAATGGCCACAGCACTGCACTATTGTTTATTTTTTTATATTTTGCGGATCTTTGACTATTTAATCTGTTACTTAAAATTTTATTAATAACAATGTTCAATAAATGATTTTCAACAAAATACAGATGCAACACCTATCCAGTTTCTGAATGATGGTAAAAAAATCTTGTTTCTACCAGCAGCTGGGGGAGACTAGATTAGATGGTTCAGTAAACCTGTCAGGACACATTTTTTTCTAACACTAAGAATCAAACAAATGCTGATTTCTATTTCAGCAAATTATTCTTAATTTTTTTTTAAATAATTTGAATAAATGTTTTGATAAAGATTTGAGATTCCTTTCACTGAATGAATGGTCACAAAGCTAGTGTTAAGCTTGAAGTAAATCAAATGGAATGCCCCCCCCCTTTAAGTTCTTTCTGCAGCCGGGTCTGGCTAACGTTCATGTTGATCCTACATCTGCAGCAGGAAAAGGCTCAGATACGTGAGAAACCCGGAGGGTTGGCAGTTACCGTTACAAACTACACCTTTGAAACACATAGCAGCTAGTTAAAAGAACATTATATGCGTGAGTGGTTGTCAGCACTAGCGGTTAGAAGTTGCTAAACTAGCAGTTGTCAGAGCTCGTCTGAACACAGCTTACCTTGGTGCGTATCACTGTGTTCCCAGTGTTTGCTGGCTTTATGATCTGCAGCTCCTGAACCCATCCATTGGTGAACTGCACATGCGACTCCAAGGACTTGTAGCTTCTGTATTGTTCTGAGGTATATGCGCTTACTCCACAAACAAGGTAGCCGAAGACGTCCGAGAAGGAGAACAGTGGCAACAACTCGTCGTCGGTGCTCCACTCATTATTTGGAACCTCTTACGGATCCAAATTATTTATGATGCTGATTTTGTCAACATACCGGTCCCTGGCTTCTCTATTAAGTGTATCCCGGTAAATTCCGGATCCTTTTTGGGACTTCAACATCGTTCTTCTCTTCTGCTTTTCCTCGTGCAAATACGTTATGTCGGCGCTATGAAATTGTTAGCGTAGCCGTCAACATGGCAACCACGTCCCAGAATGCAAAGCGGATCCCGAGCCCGAGTCATTAATATATTTATGAGCCTGCAAAAAGATGAACGACACTGTAGTGGCACTTTCACATACATGAATTAAAGAAATAACATTTTTTTTAATATATTTTAACAGTAATAAAGTAATAATAATGTTAAGACACATTTCAACACCTTTGGAATACAGCACCAGCAACAACAACAATAATAATAATAACAAATTATTTTGTGCATTAAATTGTTTCAAACGATCTATCCTCCCCCCCCCCCCCAAAAAGAAAGAAACAAACAAACAAAAAAAGTAAACAAAAAAACAAGGTTGTAATCAAATGTTGTACCTGATGGAAAAAATAGAAACGCTCTGGTTTTTGACAGGTTAGCTCTCGTTTAACATTAAACTACAAAATAGAATTTAAAATTAGCTGAAATAAAAGTGATTTACTCGTCTAACTATTTTCGGGCAACAGCAGAACTATGTACTCCACATGTCCTCGTTTCCACTCGGACCGATAAACGGACGTAACCGGAAAACCCGCCAATCACAACTTCCACCCATGTGTGAGTGAATCCTACGGTGTGATCGTTTGCGGATGCGTCAGGATAAAATAGTTTTTCCTGATTTGGTTTGTTAGCAGCGGGTTGAAGCCGCCGGCCTCAGTGCAGACATGGCAGAAGTGGTTCAGCAGCGGATCGAGGACAGGATCCCTGAGCTGGAGCAGCTAGAGAGAGTGGGACTGTTCACCAAGAAAGAAGTCAAGTAGGAAAATACTTCCAGTCTATATAACTATGGCTTACTGCTTCAGTTAACTTTATCTTTAAGCTTTAAATAAAAATCTATTGATATTCATTCATAAATAATCTTTATTTTTAGAGGAATCGTCACTTTTCGTTAAATATATTCCTGTATTTTACTATCCCATAACGTCAACTCAGTCTGACTCACTAGTTTAGTCTTGATGGTTGGTTTCACTAAAGCATTTATAAAAATCAATAAGCTTGAAAGAATATAACTTCTCTATTACAGTCAGAAGAACCACATGGTGCCCTGAAGAAGACTGTCTAAAAATGGTTTAGCTTTTTAAGAGATCTAATCTTGTAGGGCTATGATTGCTGTGCCCTGCAACCAAAGCCATACCGTCGCCTTAACGAGGCTAAATAGAAGTCGTGGATACCTTTTTATTATTAAAAATTAAACAATCAAGACAAGTTAGGAGGCAAAGGTGAAGCCCTTTAAACAGAAAGAGGAAAGATTTTCTGAGAAC